AGAAACGAACGCCTCGGCGCGAGCAAGACCGTACAGCAATCCCCGGCTATAGTATCATAACACGGAGGTCAAATGTCCAGGAGCAAAATCGAGTAGAAATACTGAAAAGGGGCATTGGCAACCAAACCTTCCAAATATATCAAATAGCTTATAGATAGCAGCAGGAAAAACACAAAGGGTCAGGGGCTGTTCTGGACTTAGTTGAAACGCTACAGTAAAAATATGCACTGTACGCGTAGTGTTGCGCATACACCACATAAAAAAAAATTAAAAAAGGCAAATGAAAAGAAGAATGAAGAGCACATACCAACTATAGCAGACATTAAAACGGAATGCATGCAACATAAAAAGGAAAATTAAAATAGAAAGGCCAGTAGTACAGAGGCATATCACCATCCAAAAAATTAAAAAAAGTTGATCATTTAATCGCTCTGGTCTCACTCGGATGCTTAAATAAAATAAAAGATTAGGCACGGAGCGAGATTGAGTATATTCCCGTCCTTACACAAATAACAGGATGAGTGAGGACCCTATGGGCTCATTCGAACTCCATCTCGTAATATACATAGGCAGTATACTCGCCTGTCCCACTCTCACCTGCGCCGCTGACATGCTGCATGTCCATGGGGTCATCTTTTCGTACACGGCCCTTCTTATCGCGTCCAAATGCGTTGCCTCCCAGGTATGAGTATGAGTCGTCCAAGTGGCTCTTTACTTTTCGCGCTTGTTTGTTTGTTGTCTAATAATACTCCTTTGTTAGTGGAGACGAATTCTATATATCTCCGCGGGGAGGGAAGGATCATGGGGGGAAATTATGCGGGTTGCGAGCAGAAAGAAAGAAACGAAAATAAAAATAAAAAAATAAAAAAAAGAACTAGGGTTGGTACAAAGGCGTCGAGTAATTTATCACAAAGAGAAAGGAGAGGGGGAGCAGGGCAGGTGCGGGGAACAGTTCACCAACCTTTATCAACGCACAGACAAAGTCTAGCGGCAGCCCATATCTCAAAACCGTCTCAACAAACACCCTCAGAACAAGGACATGAACCCAGATCATCACAGCCTCGCTCCACCCGGTCCTCGCAAGCCGCAGTGTCTCGCCCCAAAGCCTCCGTGCATCCGCATTGGCCTGATCTAGATCCCTCCGCTCCTTCTCCTCACCACCTTCAACATACTTGTAGTCTCTAGGTGTCCACCGGTGCTCTCGGCACTTGTGGAGGAATTCAGCGCTGTGCTTTTTGAATGTCGTAACGGCGTAGAGGGTGGATTCGTCATCCGAGGCAACAAAGGTTGAAGAGCGCGGAACGACCATGGGCGAGATGGTTTCGTACGTTCGTAGGAATTCCTTTGTGCTTCGTGAAGGGACGGCAATTAGGTGGGTTTCGAGATATTCGGAGTCTTGGACGAGGAGGCGGGGGTCGACGACGGATGCGAGAGATTTGGTGGACAATGTGCCCCTATCAGAGAAGTATCAGAAAATAACCGGACATAATGTACGGGTTACCTAGGTGGATTATCGTACGTTTGCTTCCGTTGTAGTGCAGCCAGCGTAGTTTTGCCTTGGTTATACTGGGAGAACTTGGCTCGAACATCATTGTCGATACTTGCAGCTTCCTATACAGAAGGAAGTCAGTCGAGCAACTTACACAAAAAGGCGGATTCCCCAATTTACATACCTTCTGCAACAAATCAATCAATTCTGCCAATGACTTCTCCGCCCGGTATTTAACCTTGTTCCACTGAAAGGACCTTAGATACTGCTCAACAGGTTCTAGAATATTAAAAGACACCGAGTCAGTCCATCGAAAAAAAAAAAAAGACAACAAAAAGGCAGAAATGACAACGGAAGCATAAAAAAAAGGTAGAAAAATTTCCACCACCATACTATCGTTAACCGTCTTCATATTCGCAATCTGCTCCTCGTCCCCTCTAGCACATGTTTCAACGCATCTCCACCTTGCCCACCACACCCTGGCACAGCGATTCCAGTCTGGCCAGCTCATCCGCTTGTTGCACCAGCGCATCCAGCGTCCCGATCTTGAACTCCGGGATCGAAAATGGGATCACCGCGCCATTATCTGAGGAAATGGTCTTGCCGATAGCTTCGAGGGCATCGTCGCGGTGGTGGGAGGGGGTGATGGAGTTTGGAAGAGAGAGGAGGATGTATTTGGGTTCCTTGGACATTGTCCAGGTTATGGCCGTGTGAATCCGTAGCCGCGCTTTTCGGTTCCTTTCTTTATATTTTCTTTTCCCTCTATGAGGCGGACATGGGATAAAGGGTTGGCGGTTGTTTATTTTCGTCCTTCGTCGAGTTGTAGTGGTTGTTTTCCGATATTACGGAGTATAAGAAGCTTGTCGCTTGTCTGGTTCCGCGGCCAGCGAGCGGACCAATCACGTTGCAGGTCGGTCAGGTGCAGCGTCACCAACCTCGAGATCTAAATAAACCAACAGGAACAGAACAGTGCCACCATCGACGTTATTCCATACATGGAAATACTTCCAATAAAACTTAACTGAATTGATCTATTTTTCGGGTGATGTCAAAAACCTATTATTGAGCATGTACTCATCAACTCCCATAGACTAGTAGCTTTATTGTTCTGCGGAAGTTTAAAATGAAAAAAAAGCAAACAACCCCAAATGTATGTCTGTCTGCGGAATATATGAGTTAAAAGTGCAAAATGCTATACGAAATGAAGATAATATCTAAGCTTGTATCCAACCCAAAGAAATGCAGAATATTTTTCAAAAATGGCACAACAACAAATTGAAGAGCAATGAAAATGGCGAGGATAAAACATTGGTGTACTAAAGGACCGCCCATCTTTCGCGGAGAATTGGAGAAGGGGGGGGGGGGGTAACGGTGGTAGTCTAGTGATATCAGACCGCAAAAGTCACAAATAATGGAAATATCAAAACAACAAATCGACATCTCTATCATTACGGCGGGGAAAACCTAAGATCCCCCTTTTGTTCGTCATGGGGCATTAAATGGCCAAAAGAGCGAACAATTGTGTTTTAAGTTGTTCTATAAAGGCGTGGAAGAGACTGTATATTCAGGTTAGTTAAAAAAAATATAAAAAACAAAACGTAAAAGGAGAGGATAATAGAACACATACAGCAGCATTCTTCGGCTCAATAAACAACGCCTTCGCCTCGGCCACAATAACAGGGTCTCTTCCTTCCTCAGGCAGCGTCTCAACCCTCCCTTCAACCCACGCCTTCCGCCCCTCCACCTTCACCGTCTCAGCGCGCACCACAAAAAAGGACCCCGCCGGCGCCGGGCTACGGTAGTCAATGTTCAAATTGGCCGTGACACCAATGCCATTGGGCAGAGCAGGGAAACAGCATCTGGCAAGCGCCTCGTCGAGAACCGTAGCGAGTAGGCCGCCATGGACAATACCTGGGTGGCCCGAAACGTCCGAACCCAGGTAGAGCATGCTAACAAGGCTCTTCCCACCCGCCTCGGTCCAGGTGTAAGGGGGTACAGCGATTTTGTTGGCGCCTGCCAGCGTTCCCGCGGTGAGGTTATGGGCGCGCAATTCTGGTGGGATCTTGAGATGGGGCCGTGACTCTGTGAAGCGCTCGTCTGACCGCAGGGAACGGGCTAGGGGGTGGTTGTGGATGAAGTCATCGATATCCTGTGCGACTTCGTCTGGTGCGAGGTAGGTCGATTCCTCGTCAGAGCGAAGTTGGGTGGCGATCTGGACCATATTGGATACGCCGGGGCTTAGTGAAATTCCTACAGTGAAAGAGAATATAGCGATTGCGGAGAAGCCTAGTAGACGACGAAATATTGAGGGCTTTTTGAATGACGGAGGTGGAGGAGGAGGCGGGTGGGAAGACGAAGGATAAATAGTCTGGACTATATGTATGTAAAGTGGACAAGGTCAGTTTATTTTATTTATTTATATTTTTTGCTAATTGAACGACTCCAAAACAAACTCAAGAGGGTAGGGGGAGGGCTATGCGCAGAATTACAATAGGTTTTCTTTCCATAATTAATTTGACATACCTGAATACGTCCGAAAGGACGGCTGGCGGAAGGGCGCGCTTACAAAGAATGAGCGTAACAAGGAAATGCCGGAAGGAGAGAGAGACTCAGGGGACGATAGAAAGCGCCGCTTTGGGGAAGAAGAAGGAATAAAGAAAATGGAGTTGCCTGAAGCAAGAACTGGACGAGAGCGGGACCGAACCATATTGAAAACGGGAGAGGCCCTGAGTGGCGGGGCGAGAACCATTGCTACTACTACTACCTAGTACCTAGGCTGCTAGCAATGGTTGAACAGCTGAAAGAAATCCAGAGCAGCGAACAGAAAGAGAAGTAAAGAAAAACAGTGGTCCGATCCAGCGTCTTCATCAGCTGCAATCTCCAAACCCAGTAGCAACTTGGTTGTTCGTTTTTGGTAGCGCTGAGTTTTGCAGGGAGCCTTTAGAGATGCCGAGGTTCGATGAGATCTACAGCGGAGGAATCTCGGGGGGCACCGAACCACAACCTTCTCTTATTTTTGATATTATAAATGATTACAGGACTCCGTACAATATACGAAATTTTATAGGGGTGGCTTAAATTTACATCATTATTTGCCGGGTGCCTCTTCTTCTGCGTCCGCTGAAAATCAGCTTGGGCGCATTGCACTCATTTACTAGTATACCGGGAATTCAACAGATTAAATTGAGTAGTACACCTTTGTCATGCATTACACTCTCTTTCTTGAAAGTTTCAAGGTTCATTCTCGTCATTGCAGCTAGTCTAAGTCCTCAGCTCCAAGGGGTGTTGATACAAGGGGAGGGTGTTCTGATGCTGGGCTGCTGCAGTGAAAGAGTACCGAATAAACCCCTGAAAACCTGCAAACGTACTACAAACGTACTACAACTTGGGGGGATTCCGCATGCATCCAGAAAATAACAGAGAGCTGGCAAGGAGTTTGGATACATAGAAAGAAATTCGACTTCTAGAGGAATGGAGGCAAAACAGAAAAAGAAAACGAAGGAAAAAAAAACGAGGAACGTGGGACTCGAACCCACAATCTTAGCTTAGCTTGGTCCCGGGTGGAAAACCCATTGTCCAATCAGTAGGAGAGCTACGCATTACCCTTCTGCCAGTCCCTCAGGCTTGGCTTTACCCATTGCGCCACTACGGCTGGGTAAGAGTTAGCGGGTCAGCCGATCCGTGAATTAAAAATGTGGTACGGAGTACACTTCCATGAGATATCTCTTATACTACGTTCTCCCTATCAGAAGAAATTATTTACTCAACGCATACATATTTTCTCAACTGTAGAAATTGAAAATATACTGGTGGCATATAGATACCCATCGTTAATCTATTTTTGTTGTGTTGTCTTATGTGTGTATGTGTGTGTGTGTGTGTGTGTGTGTGTGTGTGTGTGTGTGTATATCTATTTATCTTATATACTATATATATCGCATCGCCAACTCATC